GTTTCCTAGAAGGCCCGTCAGGCTTTAGGGAACAGGAAGAGGTCTGATGGAGCACCCCACATCTGAGGGGTGAGAGTCCCTGGAGTGCTGCCCAAAAAACATGTCCGCCTGTGCCGCCAGCCAGGTGCAAGTCCTCCCCACGCCATAAGAGAATCTCAGAAGGAACCTCAAAAGCCGCCCCTTGAAGGGTCTCGGTGGGTAGCCGGCAGGAGGACGAGGGATTCTGTGATCTGTGCTTCCCCAGATGAGTGCCCCAGCAGAGGGCAGGGGCTGGTGCAGGGCTGCGCTCCAGAGCGCCCCCTCTAGACCGGCCCCTGACTTCTCCAGGAAGGGCCCTGCAGTCAGTGTCCAAGGCTCCGTGGTCACGGGGCCTCTGTCGCCGCTGCCAGAACACACGGCTGCACAGACAGCCCCGTGAGCGAGCGTGGCTGCGCTCCAAACCCCGTATTCGCAGACCCCGAGATGTGAGTCCCATGCCTTCCACGCGCTGGGAGATATTGCTCTTTGTACCTCTCTCAGCCGCCTAAAGATAGTTCCTGGACCGTCTGGAAGGGCCGTGGGTGGGGTCTGGCCTGAGGGCTGGGTCTGTAGATCCCAGTCGAGATTTTCATCCTGGCTACATTGTTTTCAGGCTCCATAACCTCGGAAAGGTCACTCCCGACTGCTGTGACACGGTTGTTGCACCCTAAACTAGGGCTAATAATGGTGCCCGCCTCCCGGGCCGTGGGGACGGATGAGGTCAGACATGCCCAGTCATCAGGGCATCCGCTCCCACCAGCGTCTATAGGAGCTAACGAGACACAGCCTTTGAACTGGTCCCTCTGGGCCCCTCATGCCTTCATCCCATATTCTCCTGCTTTCCTTCCCAGAGCCCCCCTCAGTGCGTGCGCACGCACCCCACACCCTACAGTTATTTGGAGAACTAGCATGAACAAAGGGAAGATTGTCTTTATCCTTTCTTTCTTTAAAAGAGTTCTGCACATTAAGTCTGGATTATATTGGAATATGGAAATGGTTAAGTGCTTTGCATACAAATGATATTTAATATAGTGATTCCAAAATTTACATGCGTATGCTGACGTAGATGGATACTAAAGCTACTTTCTTTAAAGAGTTTCTATTTAAGTTTTGAAGTTGTGGAAATAGGATTTCTGCCTCATTTATCCTTACTGAAGGCATCAAATAATAACATGTGGATTTATATGTGCACCTTCTTTTACAGACTCACAATAATTGACAGTATATTTTCTTTGTTTCTAGGAACTGAGGTTCTTTAACTACATTTCCGTAGTCCCTAACATCCATGTCTTAGGGAGAAGGATTGCTGTACTCCTTGCAGAAAGTAAACTTGTAAAAGGGTTCAGGGTGCTTTTTGATCCTCACCAACCAGGTGCTTGATGAGATCCAATTTTGACTGATTTGTGAATCATCCATAGAAGGAAGAACCAAGATGAGAGACTGAACCTGGGTATGCACAGCCAGAGGTGCTCCATGATGGTAATGGTGAGAGTGCAAATCTCTGTAGCTTTGAATGGCACCAGGAATCAGATGATGACAATGACAATGGTGGTGATGATGATGGTGGTCATGAGGACGATGGTGACAATAATGATGAAGATGATGATGTTGATGGTGCTGGTGATGCTGGTGATCCTGGTGATGATGGTGATGAGGGTGATGGTGATGAGGGTGATGGTGATAATGGTGGTGATGGTGATGATGGTGATGGTGGTGATAATGATGGTGGTGATGATGGTGATAGTGATGGTGGTGAAGACGGTGATGATGGTGATGATGGTGACGGTGGTGATGATGGCGATTGTGGTGGTGATGGTGATGATGATGATGGTGGTGATGAGGGTG